CGGTTACGGCGGCTCCTTCATCATTTTCAAAAAAAAAAATGGGCCGATGATGCCGCCGGACCAAAATCCGCACCAAACAGTCACTCGTTGTGGATGTATCGGTTTCTCCTCAACGACGTGCGGGTTTTCTGTGCCCCATATACGGCAGTTTTGTTTATTTACATAACCGCCGAGGTGAAAATGAGCCTCGTCGGAAAAGATGATTTTTCGATAAAAACTCACCATCTTCGGCCAAACGATCTTCCGCCCAATTTGCGAACCGTAGACGTTTCGGATGATCAATTGGCTTCAGCTGTTGGGCCAACTGAACTTTATATGGCTTCAGGGCAAGATCTTTGCGCAAAATTCGGTGCGTAGTTGACCGAGAAAGGTGCAACTCTTGCGCTCGATGACGAATCGATGTGGATGGCCGTTCACGAACACTTTGTTCCACCGCAGCGATGTTTTCGGTTGACCTTGCTGGAAATGGACGTTTACGTGTTGTTTTATCCAACAGTGATCCAGTTTCGCGCACACGATTCACAAATTGCCGCACATATGCCTCCGATGGCAAATCTTTTTTGGCAAATATTTTTTTCAAATTTCGCACAGTTTGCGTTGGCGATTCACCACTTTGGAAATAATTTTTTAATATTTCCCAGCTTTCCTCAAGCGAATAGCGACCCATTTCGTAAATGTCAGACTTATTACTAAATATGTGACACTTCTCCGATGACAGTTGACGTCTCCAATGTCAAATTATCGTTAGTTCAAATTCGAAACGCTAGATGGGACACCCGTTATATTTAAATTATTTTAACATAAACAAGCATGTTTTGTTTTATTTGAGTCTAATTTGGAAATAATTATAAAAACAATATGATTCAACGAATTGTTATTTGAAGCGACGTTACTGAGTAATAACAAATTTGGTCCCTCCATTGATTTTGTGATGACGACCAGCCCTCGCATCGCCCACACGACTTTCATACACTGATCATCAACAGGATAATTAGACAAAAGATAATAGTTTAATAAATTAAATGTTATGAAAACTGAAAGAGAGAGAGAGAGAGAGAGTGCCTGGCAACAATTAAAGACTATAGGGAGGAACGTTTTCGATTAGGTTCATGTAGTAAAGTGGATCCGTTCTGCTCCTAGTCCTCATATATCCAGTCCGTACCGCGAAGACAACATTCATATCTATTATATATCTATCGGGATGAAGGATGACTTAGATTCCGTCATGTTCCCATAGAGGTTATGTAACGCCATCGATAAGGATTTCAGAAGTTTGTTGTTCTGTATTATATTTTCTTTAAGCAATAGTAATATGATATATTTATATCATGTGGGATTTTGTCATTATTTCTGTGTCAACAAGATATCAACCTCCAACCTCCTCAACGTTACAAAAATGAAAAGCAGTATAAAAATATGATGTGATTATTTACGATTATATTCGAACCATCTTTACATTTTTACAATTGACGTTTTGTAATACAAGTATATATAATTACAAACTGTTAAGTAAATATTTAAAATTTATATATAAATAAACGAAAAAAAATACAATGTGTGACTGAACTATATTATGGAAGAGAATAGGATAATACATTTAATTTAATATATATTTGTGATATCTTTTAAATCAAATGAAATTTGATTTTTATTTTGTGCAAAATGGATGTTATAGAATTATGACAATGAAGTATGTTTAGTAATAATACATGATCTTAATATATAAGAGTAATTTGTTATTAAAACGTAGTAGGAACTAAACTCCCAACTTAATGACTCGTCGGAATTTCCTGGAAAAAGCTGTCATGATTTTACATTCAAATGTAGAAAGAGAAAAAACATTAAAATGGGATTGTTGGATTAAAGTCAAAGAAGTCCACGTCCTGTAATAGTAATTTTTACTGAAAATATGAACTAGTAAATATATTAATATATCGATTAAATTTGTAACTTCGTAAATGTTATAGCTAAGTGTTCTTTTAAATGAAACCTTCAAAGTCCAAACTTTACTAAATTAATACTAAACTTATTTAGGTCAGAGGTTTTCGGATACATTAAAATATTGTAATAATATTAACTTGTGATTCAATACTCCATTAATGTGATTACGGAGCTCCGTCGTAACTTTAATAAATACGAATATAATAATACAAAAGTAGGCAGTTATTTTCAAACAACACAGCGTTTGGGCTCTTTATAGCAATATTGAATATCATACATTCCAGAGCGGGAGTATTTATTAAATCCAATAGTAGGTGCGCCAGGCCCGCAGTTCTAATAACTACTATCCATTATGAGGCTAACTCCCCACTTGGCTGTCATATCACACCAACACTACCTACATTCATATTCTGAAAGCTTCCCACTTACAAAATTGAACTTAATTTGTTTGATGCAAATAATATACCAACTTAGTAAACATTATTATAACACAATATTGTAACGAGTGTTTCAGTCCCATTAAACGGTTTTCAAATGTTATGTTCCGTGGAATTTATAATTAATGTAAAACATAATACAAATATAAACGGCTGCCTTTTATCATTTCATTCTATGTTGTTTTTTCTGTTTGATTAAAACAGTAAGCTCGTAAAAATGTTGTTATTATATTGAAGAAGATATAACAGTTACATTATAGTCTGACTGTTATTTTACAATATAAATATACGTCTTGTTACAAAAATGCTTCTTCCCATTAGGAAGGTAGATTGATATATAATGAGATGGTGCGTTGTTCCTTTTCACATCCAACATTCAATAAGAGTACAACTCTTTATGAGTCGATTTTGTCCCTTTTTATTGTTTCTCATTACAGCGAAGGAGAGATAAATAATATGGGATATTTAAAACTCTCTTGATTTAATTAAAATATTTACGTTAATAAAATCATAAAAATAATATCAACAAAATTTTTTGAACTTAATTTAACTTGTTGCGGTTCGATGATTTCTACTGAAAGAATTTTTATAATCACAAAAGAAAACAGCCTATAAGTAGAGAAGAAATGAAAGAAAAATTACAAGGAACAATTTCATGTTCATCTCAAATGTAAAGACAAAAAGTTTTCCTTATTAGTATGCAGGTCACAACGCTCGTGTGATGCCTTCTGACTCTTTTCACGTTTGAATATTTGCCTGAAGGCCTTTTTTTGAAAAGCCGCTGAAAACATGTTTCTTACAATTCAGAATACATTCCAGCTACTGTTGGATGTTAGCTGAATGCTTCATCAATATTAAATTTTACTTTCCACAATTTGTGCTTTACTATGCTAACGTTCTCTGGCTCGTTAATGGCAGGCTTTTTATAGAGAGAATTGTTGTAAAAAGATCATGTTCACTCACATACACTGGCTAGTTTGTTAATGTTTTTGAAACAAATTATTGTAACAAACTTTAATATTATAGTTTAAAGTAAATCTTGATAACTGACAACGAGTTTATGATTAAAATTATAATGTTTTTGAATAATTCAAATTAATTATTTTAAAAGTTTGGACATCAAACGTATATCTATAAACACGTGGTGTGAACCACTTATAAAGAATTGATATGTTATAAAAAATATATGCATAATTTTAAACATTATATAGGAAAGCGTTATTTCACAAGTGACTAACAACCCATGATGGATACTACAATATTGTCATTTTATTAGTTAAGGCAACTGAATTGAAGGAATGTTTAAGCAAAATATAGTTTTAGGTTATTTTTTAACGAATCAAAAACCTAAACCGAACAATACTTGTGTAATATTTACTTTATGTAACTCATGAAACGTTATGTACGTGACAGTTAACAATTTATCAGAATCAGCCGCGCTTAAGTCACGTATTAGGAGCGGCCTAATCACAATCTTCACACCATCTAAAGCGTCAATACTGAAATAAACTACTCCAACTGATATCAAATTTCAGAAATATTTACAGTCTGCGTTTTGTTTTTTTTCTTGCCTATATTATTTGCATTTGCAATCAATGAAGCGTAACAAGCTACTTCAATTAATTTCTATAGTGGTTGTTTGAATGTCCTTTACTTAGCAGACCAAACCCACAAGCTTGTTATGAACGATCCTTCATACTTCGCTGGTCGCTAATTCCTCGCATTAGCTTCGGCTTCCATCGACCAAGCTCTTTGTAACGAGCTCACGTAACATTGAACTAATTCTATATATTATAAAACTCAACAAATGAACAAAAAAGGATTATAAAATTAATTATAATTTAATCCGTAGATAAAGCAAATCTGCTTTGAAAATATTTCTCAAACAAATAATAAAACATCTGTCTGAGACGTCGGCCTCGTTTCGTATTATGAATTTCATTGGAAGATCTTTAATTTACATTCGGAGCCTTACAAATCTATTCAGACAGCGATCACAACTGGAACAGAGTTACAAATTATAACCAGATCTGATTGTTTATCCTAAATATTGTTACGAATAAAATTTGTATTTGTGTTTTGGTTTCCTAAAAGAATGTAATAAGGAACTATTCATATTTTAGGTTCGATGTCTAATACGTTATGCGCAGATGTCCCCCAAAGGGATATATTATTAAAAAGTTTGCTCCAGACGGTCACAATGGTCGCTATTGAAGGGGAACAATAACAATTTATAATGTAACTTTCGATTTACTCTCCAAACGTGTATCGGGTACAAAGCGCTAGTCTCAAGAGGAGGAAGTTTTTGCATCAACGGGTTCCGATTTGTGTTTTACCTTACTGTTATGACTACAAGATAATTTCACAAAAGTTTACCCTTTGAAGATATAACATTATAATACATTTTCATTCTTGCCTATTAATTATTTATGGTAATGTGTAGACATCCCAGTACTACAAATTTACCACAATGTTTATTTAAATTTAATATAATATAAAATTAAAAATTTATTTATACGAGTTTCTTTTTGTTACAGATTAACAATTTAGAATGTTGAGGTCAAAAAAGAGGATACATCACAAGAAATACAAAGTGCGTTAAGCCATTTGTTAATGATCACGATGGTGGATGAAGGGCGCCGGGACCCGTCCAAGCGAATCGTTCGAAAAATGGAACCTCCAATTATAGAAGAACCACATTGTTGTTTACTATCTGGTAAAGAGGACAACCAACTGTTTTGCTGCCGGTGTGCCCATAAAAGGCGAGCATCGCCTCTTACATGCTTAGCAATATGTTTCCTCGTCCTCACTTATAATATTATGGGTGGATTTATATTCTTAACGCTAGAAGGCCCTACCGGCTCATCAGAAGAGACATCAGTAGCTGCGTCCAAACCTAATTTAAGCCAAACTCAGAACGGTGATCTTCGGTCCAAGACGGTTGAACGTCTCTGGTCAATAACAGAAGATTTGAATATATTGTATAAGGAAAACTGGACAAAACTTGCGGCAAAAGAGCTAATGGATTTTCAAAAGGTTTTAATGAAGACCATAAGAAAGACAGATATACCTAACATGTCCCAAGCCTATGACCCTACAGACTATCGTTGGACATTTGCCGGAAGCTTCCTCTACGCTTTGACCTTGATTACTACTATTGGTAAATGTTTGCAATATCATTATTCGGATTTATCTTATATTATTCTATCTCCTTTCTTAAATATTTAGAAAGAATTTTGTTACATTATTATGTCAATATTTTCAAAAATCTTAACTTTATCATACCAATAATAAATAGTTCCAGTACCATTAAAATTCAAATTTATTTTTTTGCAGGTCATGGAAGTGTTACTCCAAAGTCATCAACTGGAAAAATTGTGGCAATAGCATATGCCTGTGTCGGTATACCTATCATTATGCTTTACCTCTCAACTGTAGGTGAAGCACTTGCGAGAAACTTTCGTGCGCTCTACTCAAAACTTTGTCCGGCGCGACTTAAGAGCAGAGACTTCCATTCAAAGGCCGACTGCATTAGACGCTATTCAGGGTCCGGTGTTGAGTGCCGACAATTTGTTGAATGTCATAGGCAAGAAAAACTTTTTGAGCGTCAAAAGAGAACACCGTTCCAAGCGGCGTTGAACCTAGATAGTTTTAATGGAGGATATCATTGGACATGTCGGGACCACACGCGAGTGCCAATTATTTTAAGTCTACTACTTATTATCCTGTATATAGCCTTAGGTACGTTTGTTTTTCATACAACAGAAAAATGGAATCTTGTCGACGGATGCTACTTTTCTTTTTCGAGTCTTGCAACTATAGGTTTTGGAAATTTAAGACCCGGCTTATACGCTAGTACCATATCAGCAAAGGCAGAGGATATCGCTGTAGGAGTGTGCTGTTTATACATATTGGTGGGCATTGTAGTAGTAGCTATGTGTTTTAATCTTATTCAAGAAGATATGAGCTCAGCGCTTAGGAAAATCACAACATTCTGTACGAGCAGTTCAAAAACTCGAGCTGTGCATAGCATAGAAAATTGTGAGGAGAAGATATCAATGGCCTTAGTATCCTGACATAGGGAGACGGCAGAGTTGCCGTCAATAAACTGTCACGAAAAACGAGCTCATGTGAGCTTCAAAGTCGACAGTTCGAATCCCACCAAGTTCAACAGTTTACCGCGCAGAAAGTCATCGTCTTACGGAGAAGAGAGTTTTCAACGGAACATACCTGCTCGTCGATCCGCTGGCCAAGCTGAACGTTGTGTGGAATACTTCGTCCCTCGTAGCTTAAGTGAGTTTAATTTAAGCGGCGCTGGCATGAAGTCTAGCGAATTAGTCGCTGTAGGAGTGACCCCGCTGGGAGACAGAACACGCACCCGTCGTGATAAGATGGTCACTTTTGAGGACGAGGGCGTTGCTTTACCTGAAAACCGACCCCTTGCTGATGATGTCTTTATGTAACTATCTACTACATCGTATATTTATATGTTTGTTGATTCCGACAATGTTTGTTATATAATAAACTGAAAGTTTTGCATTTGGGGAATTTTTATTGTTGTCTCAACGAAAGGCTGGGCTCAATTTATTTTATCTGTTACATCGTTAAGGATTTAATATTCTTAGTCTTAAGCATGAAGTGTCTGACGAATAATTGTATTTGTTATTTGTAATACTCCAAAATATTAACCAATACATCGTCATTGGGCTAATTATTAGGTCGACGTTGTTTTAACTCCTTTCTTTAGTATATTGGTGTATAAAATAAAATAAAATATACAAAGAGAGTGCAGTAAACCAGTGAATTGAAAAATACAATAGTGATTAATATTAAAATAACTGTTTATTTGGCTTGAATATTGTTGAAATATTAGTTCAATAATTGGCTATAAAATTTAAATTATTATTTTAATATTTGCCTGAAATTAGTAACTGGAACGAGATACAAAACCGAGCCAAGAGGGTCCAGATTGGGTTAAGAGTGACAACTGGTCTTTTAATACCAGTAGAAGCAGTTGGTAAGATGTAGACGTTTTCACTTATTCCAAACTATTATGAATATATATATATTGTTGGAAGAGGGATATTAACTTTTAATAATAAAGGTTGAAGCAGCTAAGCGCTTTTTGTTTATTTTATTTTAACTCCTTGGCACAGCAATTGTTGATTAGCATTTTAAAACTACCAATTTTTTTTGTACTCAGTACTTAGTTCTCGTATTAGTTTAAATATTTAGATCGTAAGACCACAAAAGCACTAAATAGTAATCAACATAAAGCGTATGTTTGATAGTCACCAATAATTTTTCAGGGAAAATAATTGAGTGATAACATTTAACAATATTTCAATGATCACAAATATTTTCTAAACTCTGTAGGATTCACTGACTCGTCATGATTTTTGTATTTGAAATATGAAAATGGAAGATTTTAATTTACTTAATATTTTCTTGTTGTTGTATTAATAAATAATCAAATTTGTAATTATATTTAATATAGGTAAATAGAAGGTTTATGAATAATGAAAGTTTAAGATGTATGTAAAACATATTGGTTATAGAAGTAACAATAGTGTTTAAGTATGTAATACTTAGGTATAAAATGATTAGAGAGTGTTTCTGTTGGTTTTGTTATTGATAAAACAATTCTAACAAACCCATGTATCTTTAAGTAAAGTCGACCAAGCGAGAGATCAAGGCTCGCTGGTCAAAAAAAACAAAAGAATATTATGTCTGTAATATATTTTCTTTCTACACTCTTTTTTATAATCAAAAACTTCTCATAGTAATCAATGTGCTATTTAAAATGTTATGTCATATATTATGTGTATATTAAAATAAGGCAATTGCGAAATAAATAAAAATGTGTTTTTATGTTTCTCCTATTACTATGTCTGTATATGTTTCGATTTTACCTTTTCAGCAATAATTTTATTAAATACAATAAAAATATTATCAATGAATATTTTAGTAAAAAAAATCACAGTAATATTATTCGTTACGGACATGAATGGTTTTTTTTTGCGTTTTAAATACATACTGATAAAGTACGTTCCTATTCAGAAGTTGCACCGTAATATATCTTAGAAGTTATGTGTATAATATTATTACACTAGACGTGTTTTGATTATAAATGAAAATAAAGAGGATATATTGTTATAATTAAGAAAAATAACTATGTTAAAGAGCTTAAAATAACAAAAATTCACCAAGAATTTTTGTTGAAAGACTTGACATAGGTTTACCAGCATCTATGAAATAAAATGCATTCGAGCAGAATAAAAGAAAACCTTCCTTATAATCAATGTTATTGAAAATAGAGTAATAACTATTTAGAATAAAGATGAAACAAGTCAGTTTAAACGGGAGAAGTTTTGGGTGTTATGTATATGGAAGTGTATATAAAATAAAAACTTTTCAGAATATGTTGTTGCAGCGTGTTTTATGGCAGGTAGTATATTTCAATATTTATGTAAAGCCAGCGCACCTCATGAAGTGTTCATGCTAGTTTTTGTCATTCATTCATCACTCACTCTGTAACACTATTTATATAATAAAAGAAAATCAATTAACTTTTTATTTATTTTGTTTTTTTAGAATTTAAGGTTCGTATATATTTACATATACAAGCAGTAGTAGCAGTGATGCATGTTTATATGTGTTCAAGTAATTTGACTCTTTGTTTAGTTTCGACTTATTGAATCAACGAGTATTTTTTAAGTTTGTTCTTTGAAAAATGATTAATTATTATTACATAACATGAAAGTGTTTGACAAATATGTGTAGTAGGCCAATTGAGTAACGCAATTATTATTCAAATCATTTTACACACTTTTCCACCATCTGTCAAATTACAAAAATAAAAGATAAAGAATTGTTATTTTTAAACTCAGCCAATATATAAATAACAATTATAATAACTGTAAACCGTCTTAAAAACCTTATTTAAATCAAACGTTATTCTGGATTCTATTTCCATATAAATTAAAATGAAACAAATTTGTAGTTAGAATCACAGCAAGTTTTACAGTTTAAGGCACCGATACGAAGAAGAAAGATTTCAACAGGAGCTGTGCGCAGGAGCTCGTCGGTCAATTGATATAATCTTTATGTAACTCTTGGTACAACTAACATGATTCAGACAATGTTTGTTATATAATAAACTGAAAATTTTGTATTTGGGCAATTTTTATTGTTCTCTCAACGAAAGGCTGGGCTCAATTGATAAGTATGATAATAATTATTCAAATAAGTGTTCATTTCACTTAAAATAATTTTTAGGTAAAAACAACTTTAGTTTTATTAAGCCAAGCATTATTATATATGGACAGGAATAGAGAAAATTATGTTTCTATAATGAGTTTATTAATTTTTATAAATCTTCTCAAAGCTTCTTTATTCTTTGAACTTAATATTGTAAATTGTAATTTTCATACGACCTGTTTTGTAATTTGGACATTTCATTATTTTTACTAGTAAGAGCATTAAATCAAAAAAAATTAAAGTTAATATAAGTAATAGAAGGCTTTGACTAATGCAAGTATAAAATGCATTGTCATAAATACTTTAGCATATGTAAAAGGTATCGGTTATAGAAGTAACGATAATGTTCAACTACGTAATGTATAAAATAATTAGAATGTGTTTTTGTTGGTTTTACAAAGACATGTATCCTAAAGTAAACCCGACCAAGCGAGAGGTCGAGTCTCTTTGGTCCAAAGAAATAAAGGGAAATTATTCCTTAATTTATTTCCTTGCTATAAACCTTTTGTAGGGAAAATTATGTAAAGTAATTATTTGTGGACTAGTAGTGTGTGATGTATTTATTCCAAGGCTCTTGCGAATTAAATGAACTGTATAAAAATATCAATGATAATATCATCATTGTTTCTGTACAGGTGTTGGTCCAGTTTGATACGCTACTTGAGTCATCCCGCTTCTTGACGCCAGTATTCTTCGTCGAGATAGGGATAATTCTCAAACAATTCGATAACGACGAAGCTCAAAAAGAGAACAGAAGTCGAAATCCTATTCTTATAAGCCAAAAAATATATATATATGTGTTTATCTCGTCATTGTTTTGTTTTCAAGAGTTATGGCTCTCATACTATATGTATACCATGTTCACGCGCTCTGGCAAATTATCCAGAGACCGAGGAATATTATCTGATGGTATGGCTTGTATTCGTGTACTATGATACGACTTGACGACAGCTTAATCCAAATGTGTGATGCAGTAATGCTACCTTTACCTTACGACTTTTGATGCTACCACAAAATTTATTCAAGAACAAGGACAAAGAAGAAGACTAATCAAATTATTTAGTTGATTATACAGAGAGATGTTATTTATTAAAGAATTGGAGGGCGACTACTGATTACACGATTGGAATAGACGTGGAATTATTATTAATCCACTATACAGGCTATACGGGCAGCTTTAGAGAAGCCATATCATATGTCAGATATGTTGATCCCACACTAAATTAAGAAAAAAAAATTACGCACAGCGAGAGAACAATTAGCACGATGTGGTAGAAATCCACCGGTTATGTTTCCAGACTATCACGTGAACGGTGAAGTCGTAACGTATTAGAAGGGCGCCATTATTTAGATAAAATATCTTGTTAATCTATTACTGTAATATCTTACTTACTCGATATATTTACTGCTTACTGTGAAGAGTCACAATTAAGATATGTGTTTATACAGTTCACGGTCACAAATGATTATAACAGGCCATTAAGTTCTAAATGAACGAAGACAATATTTTAGTAACGGAGTTTCCACATTACGAATAGTAATTATGAAGTGAATTTAACAATAAAAATATAATGAGGAGCTCGTTAAGATGAAATTGAGGCTCAATTTGTGAGGCGCGTGACGTCATCTGCTTTAAATTAATAACAGGCTCGCTTCTGGTGATTAGTGAAATGTATTATTATGTGATTTTTACATTGAAATAAATATTACATTTATTTAACGTATTATAATCTAGAAATTTATCTCTCAACTTTTATATAGGTTTGATTTTTTCATAATATTTTCGTTTATTGTGACATTGTATGTCTGAATGTAAAAAATGAGGTAACGAGGTACAACATTTATGAAAAAGAACTATCTTGGTCTCTATATTGAAAGATTAATCTTTATTGGTTGATACTTTTATGAATTGGATTTACATGTATAACTATTGACAGTTTAAAAGTGGTTTTAAAAGTGCTGCTTAATAAAATTATTAATATTTTATATGTTATAAATTGATCTTCCATTCAGAGGAGCGTTATATATGTTGAATGGTGAAACTTATTAGTTTACTTAACCTAACCACAAGATTTTCGCCTAAAATCTGTTTACTACAGTTGCAGCTTAGAAATATGATCACGACGCTGACATTAACGTTACAAGCTGTTAGAGAAACGTTGAGCCATATTAGAATGAAATCATCATCGATGTATTCCATTAT